GGCTCCTGACACAGGAGTATCATGGCCCTGTTGTTAGCGTACAGGACTGGGGCAGAGCTAGGCCGCTCACCTAAGTATGAGAGCAAGAAGGTCAGCCAGCGGAGCTCCTGTGCCGCCATGGCACCAGCGTAGATCTCAGCCTCACAGCTCGACTGAGCAACCGACGACGAGCGAGTGGATCTCCAAGAGATAGCACCCGAACCAAGGCGTCTGGGTCACCCTCAGGGACTAACAGCATGGAGCAGAGATGGGGAGCAGCCTCGGAAAGGAAAGCAAGCTCGTACTGCCTGTCCTCTAGGACGTCACTGCCAAGGGCAGGAGCACCCCCGACGGACGGAGGACGGGCAGGGTCAGAGACCAGAGCGGTAGCGTAGTCAAGGCGGCGGGTAGAGGCGAAGTCAGCGACAGCAGCGACAAGCGCGTCAAGGCGCGAGACAGGAACAGAAGGGTCGGTAACAAGAGAGGCAAGGACCCGAGGGACAAGGGGACGAGCAGCACGGAGGTAGTCAGAGAACGGAGGAGGTGCAACAGCAAGGGACGAGGGAGGAGGGGACGGGAGGAGGGGAGGACGAGACGAGCGGGAACGGAGCAACATAGGGTGGGCAGGACAGGAGAGACGGGACGAGCACGGGAGGGACGGCGAGCCCAAACGTGAGACGGAGGTGTAGGGTCAGGGGACAGCGGAGGGACACAGGAGGGGAACGAGGAGGAAGACGGGCCGGAGACGAGTCCGGCGGCGGGAACACAGGACCGTAGACAGGAAGGTCAGCAGGCGGTGGGGGAGACACCGCGCGCGGTCCGGGGAGGGAAGGCCGAGCAGGCGGAGAGCGGAGACCGGCGGCGACGGCTGCTGCGGCGGCGACGACGGCTGGGCCGGAACCTCGGACCAGCAGAGGCAGACGACCGTCGGCAGAACACTCAACAGCAGCACCCCCAGAACCAACACCCCCAGAGCGAGAACCCCCTCCAACACCAGCGGCACCCCCAGAAGCCGCAGGACGAACACCCTCCTCCACACCAGCACCCCCAGGGGCCAAGAGCGGCGCGGCAGTGGCGCGACGACTGCGGCGGCGACGGCTGCGGCGGCGGCACAGCGGCGACGGCTGCGCGCGCGACGGAGCGGCGGCTGCAGGGGGTCGGACTGCGACAGTGGGGGCGGAGGCACCGGGGAAGGGGGACGCGGCAAGGACAGACCGGGGGTACCACCAGAGTCAGCAGACTCCTCAACGGGGACAACCGACGGGAGGGAGTGACGTGAGAGACACCAGACGGGGCAGGACGAGGCGGGAGAGGGGCAGGGGCTACCGGGGAGAGGGAGCAAGGAACAGGGGGGGCAACTGGGAGACCTCGGTGAGGGAAGCGGCGGTAGAAGGAGACAGACTCGTCAAAGGTGACGTCACGAGAGTGGAGGAAGCGGTGAGACGGCGGGTGGTAGAAAAGCCAGTCAGACGAGTCCAGGGGGAAACCGAGGAAGACACAGGGGACAGTGCGGGCAGTGAGCTTGTCCGTGCCAGAGGCACGAACGTGAGCAAGGCAGCCCCAGACGTGGAACGCAGACGCGTCACCGGGGGACCCGGTCCAAAGGAGGGTCGGCGAAACCTGCGGCCGCTGGGAGCGTGGCCACAGGTTAAGCTGGTGAGCAGCGTAGCGAACAGCGAACGGCCACAGAAAATGGGGGGCATCGGCATGGATCATGGAGGTACGGGCGACCTCCATGACCAAGCCGATGCGGCGCTCAGCAACCCCATTCTGCTGTGGCGAGTCCGGCAAGGTGTACGACTGGGTGATGCCCTCCGCACGACAGAACTGTCCAAGCCGACCAGAGGCGAACTCGCCGCCACGGTCGGAGTGGAGACACAACACGGGGAGACCGCGGTGGAGACGCGCAGCCACAACCCACGGGAGAAGAACGTCGGGCACGTCGGCCTTCCGCTCCAGGGGAAACACCGTGGTGTAGCGCGTGTAGTCGTCGACGAGCACAAGGAAGTAGCGCTCACCGCGCGGTCCGGGGACGGGGGCAGGGCCCCAAACGTCCAGGTGCAGGGTCTGAAGGGGGGCAGTAGCCGGGCGCAGCGAGGAGGAGTGAGGGCACGGCGGAGCCGCCCTCGACGCAAGGCGTGCACGGTGGCGCAGTCGAGGGAGGAAGGGCGGGGAGCGACGCAGGGAGACCTAAGACAAGACCGTGCTGGGACATGTGACGCAGACGAGGGAGAGCAGGGTGACCTAAGCGGTGGTGCCAGAGAAGGGACGGGTGAGTGAGGGAACGACACGAGCAAGCTGCAGACCTGGGAGGACGCACCAACCGGGGGGGAAGCGGTGTCTAGGGTAAACAGACCGGACACCGGGTCCCCGGGGAACGTCGCAAGGGGGGAACCTGAGACAGCCTCAGAACAGACAGCGAACCGCTCGTGCCCGGGGAACGTGGTGGTGACGCCGAGGTCCTGGAGACAGCCGACACCAACCAGGTTCCTCGAGAACGAGGGAACGTGGAGGCCTGTAAGGGAGCCCGAGGGAACTGCTGGACAGGGAAGGGACGTAGAACTGCGAGCGACGACAGGACCCGCAGAGGGGTCAGCGAGAGAGAGAACAGCAGGCGTAGCAAGCGGCGTGAGCGCGGAACGGTCGCGGAAGAAGCAGGCAGAAGCACCGGAGTCGAGAGTGAAGGACAGCGCGCAGTGGCGGGGCAGGGACGGAGCCGGTGCAGAGACTAGGCTAGACAACCTAGGCAGTCCTACGCCTGACGCAGCAGGGGAGGCTAGCTACACACGGTGCAACACCTAAACTAGAGAACACAGGGTAATAAGATCCAGCAAACTAGCAGCGTCAGAATACAAAGCATGCAAAGCAGCACCTAGCTGATCCATGTCTAACTCAAAGATCGGCACGCCCTGGCGGAGCAGGCTGTGCCAGTCAGGGAGGTCCGGGGCCGGGCCAAAGCGACGACGAAAGAGATCGTCGAGGCGGCGGAAACAGCGGGCATCGGGTGCGGGCGGCGGCACAGAGTGCCGCGAAGGGCCCGGTCTGAAGCTGGTACTGACAGGTGACAGCACCGGAGCCGCTGGTAGACGCCAAGCTGCGCGGGCCGCCACCACGGCCACCACCTCCGGAGGTGCCGGGCCAACCAGGCGGGAGGCGAGCCCACTGCTGCGGGGCTGCGGCTGGGACGGCTGCTGCTGGGACGGCGGCTGCGGCGGGCTGCTCCTGCTGCGGCTGGGGCTGCTGCTCCTGACCCCAATTAGTCCCCCAGACGGACTACTCTCACGACCACCAACACCACTACCTGCGCCACCACCCCTACCCCCTGGCGACCACGGCCACCGCGGCGCGAGGCTGCTGCGGGTGGACCGCAGCAGCCGTCTCGGTGAGGGGGGCCGTGGCGACCGCAGCCGAAACGTCAGTGAACGTGCACTGGGAGGGGGCACAACCGTGAAAGATAGAGACTGCCGGCGCACCGCTCGACTGAGCGATAGTGCGCTGGCGAGTCTCGATCTCGGTGAGGGTGTCGACAAAGGCAGTGAGAGTGAGGTCAGCCGGGTGCTGGCTAAGGAAGTGATCGCGAGCACTAGCGAGGCGGTCTGGCAGGCGCATGGCGATAAAATAGAGCGTCATGCAGAAAGGGGGGGGAGCGCAGTGAGCTGGGCAGCAGTGCTGGCAGTGCGATAGCGGGTCTCTAGGGCACGCAGGTGAGTGGCAAAGTCTGCGACGGTAGGGAAAGCTGCAAGGTCTGGGAAAAGCATAGGGAAGAGCAGGCGACCAGCAGAAGCAGACGCGGGTGTGGAATAGCGGGCAATAACAGCGTCTAAGTAAGCTTTGGCCGTCTCAATAGTAGCAAAACGCGAGCGCTCAGAGACAGGGAGGGCGTGGCTAATGGCAACCTGAGCGACTGCATCGCGGGAGTCCCAGACCGCACGGGCAAGCGCAGCAGTAGAGAAGGTCTCACGGTCATCAGAGGAGGGATCAGCAGGGAGGGGAGCAGGTGCGGGGGCGGGGGAGCAAGCCGTCGACATGGACAACCAAAGAGTGGCCATCCTGGCGCTGACCTGTAAGGTGGCGGCGGAGATCGGAGAGCCAGGCGGCGAAGTCAACCGCATGGCCCTCGGCGTCCAGTCGGAGCACGAAGTCCGCCATCGTGCAGGGTCAGCGGCACAGCTCCACAGGAACACAGCGACAGCCCCCTCCAGCACGGCGGCCGCGAAGCGCCTCAGCACGGGCGAGCAGAGGAGACGGAGCCCGAGGCGGCACGGCAGGACGAGCCGGGGCGAAGGGGCCAGGCAGGTGCGGTGGGGCCAGGCAGGTGCTGGCGGGCCAGGCAGGGCGGCGGGGCCAGGCAGGCGCGGCAGGGCCAGGCAGGCGCGCGGGCCAGGCGCGGGGGCCAGGAGGCGGCGGGGCAGGAGCGGGGGCCAGGCAGGCGCGCGGGCCAGGCAGGCGCGCAGGCCAGGCAGGGGCGCGACGGGCAGGAGCGCCAGGCCAGAGGGGCGCGAGGCAGGCCACGGGGCCAGGAGGGCGCGGGGCCAGGAGGCGCGAGGGGCCAGGCAGGGCGCGACGGGCAGGAGGCGCGGCAGGGGCCAGGCAGGGCGCGACGGGCAGGGGCACGACGGGGCCAGGAGGGGCGCGACGGAGGAGGCGGCGCGGGGCCAGGAGGGCGCGACGGGCCAGGAGGCGCGGCAGGGGCCAGGAGGGGCGGACGGGCAGGAGGCGCGAGGGGCCAGGAGGGGCGGACGGGCAGGAGGCGCGAGGGGCCCAGGAGGGCGCGACAGGGCCTAGGAGGCGCGGCAGGGCCAGGAGGGCGCGACGGGGCCTAGGCGGCGCGACGGGGCCTAGGGGCGCGACGGGGCTAGGAGGCATGGGCGGAAGCGGTAGGTGGGGGGGGGGGGTCGAACCTACGGGTGATACCATGTCGAGAAGAAAACTGAACAAGTGTTTTGATAGAGAGAGAGAACAAGGGTATATACCTAAGAGTGTTGTACCCTCTAAGAGGTGACCCTATACAGTCTATACAAATATGAGTTATACATATATTTGATACCTGAATGTGGTTTTGCTATTCTAGCTTGGGGCTTTAAGCAAGTCCCTCTGATAATGTGACCCAATTGAAGCTAGAAACCTTATACCCAGTTAGTCTGAGAAGGGAAATGCGCTATGCTCATCAAGCGTTTCTATTCTACAGTTGAGTCATAACGTAAGGAACACCTAAAAGCTGACTTCTGCACGCCGCAAAACTAACCGCACGAAAACGGCAGCCAAACTACCATTAGCAAGAAATGGTACGATGACACGAAGAAAGGAAGGGTGGGTGCTGAGGCCTTGAGGAGCGCACAAACGACAGCAATGAGCATCAGTAAATTGGTGGAGTCCTGAACAAAGGAAACACAGGCACAAGCACGGAGAAGCATGGGGCCAAGCTACGATATTAGGTACACATGAATGGTGGAAAGAAAGGAAAAGGGTGAGAGGCCACTACGAGAGCAAACCCCGCACATGCATATTACACCAGTGAAGACCATAAACCGATGTGGAACTCGGCATACACAAATGAGAATAGGAGCCAACCAACCAAGCCACCTGACTCAAACCCACACCAGCACTGACCCGAGCCACAAGCGCAAGAGCCCGGCCAACAGCCCCTCCCCTCTTCACCAGCACGCCCTGCTCCTTCCCGGCCTCCTCCGCCACCCAATAGCACCCCACACTGGCTGCTACCGCCGCTGTCCCCGCCAGCAGCACCTGACCCTGCCTGAGAGCAAAGGCGAGCTCGCCTAGGGATGATGAGAGGAGGTACGGCAGAAGGAGGAGCGAGAAGGATAGAGAGAGAAGGGCGTGCATGCGCGCAAGGACAGACGAGAGGAGGGACGCCCAGGGGAAGGCTGTGACTGGGGGAGGGAGGACTGCCTGGGCTTGTTGCGAGACGCTGGCTAGGACTTGCTGAAGGGGATTGAGTGGAGAGGAGGAGGCGGCGGAGGAGGAGGGGGAAGTGGGGGAGGGAGCTGGGGAGGAGGAAGATGGGCGTTTGCCTGGCTTGTTGCCGGGGCTTGGGTTCTTCCCTATGCCACTCCTGCCGCTGCTGAAGCCACAGGTGATTCGGATTGAAGGCTGTGGGAGGAGAGGGAGGGGAGACGGAACATAGGAGGCAGGGGGAAATAGGAGCGAGATTATGGCGAGCTGCAATGGGCTTGTAAGGAAGGTGCGACGAGACAGAGCACGCGTGTGTCTCCGTTTTCTTGTATTGGACCACATGCAACGACACTTCCATCAGATCCCTCCCTCCCCCCTTCCACACCGGCACACCACCCACCCTCACTCTCTGTGAGACATCATCCACAATCTCTAAAACAACACACACAACCACTCGCATCCACCAGCATACTCACCCGTTCCCTTATCATTACTATTCTCCGAGCACACAGCTTACCGCCTCCCCCCTTCTCCCTTCCCCAAACGCCACTCCACAACACGCCCTGAACATCCAGGGTGCACAACTCGACCCATCTGTTGGAAATTTACACCCATCGGAAAAGCAGGTCACAGCGTGCACGTGCGTGGGTGGAGTAAAAGGGCATTGTGCACCCTGGCTGTAAACCCTTCTCCTGACGGGAGCGTGTGATATGAGTTTCGTTTTGAGTCGACTCATATCAAATGGAGTGAAAGGGCATTGCGTACCCTGAGCGAAAGGGCATTGCGTACCCTGAGTGAAAGGACATTGCGTACCCTGGCTGTAAGCCGTTCCCCTGACGGAAGCGACGCACGACGCACCGAGACTGCTCGCTGCAGCGGCAATCGATCATGCCTGCGCGTGCCTTCGGAGCGAACAGGTGAAGATGATCCGAAGCGGGCAGCTGGAGGATGTTGTGACCCAGGCCACGTGGCGGCCGCTGAGAGGCCCGCTCCGCTGCAGCCGCTCCCGCCCGCATTTCTAAAGCTGCTGCTGCTGCTGCTGCTATGGATTGCCCTTCCGCCTACGATGCGATTCAACCGGTGTGCGACCGCGAGGCTCGCATGCACAGTGCTGCGGGACGCATCCGTGGAACGGAGTGCGTGGCGCTGACCCTCGGCCACTCGCGAGCACGCCGCGACGCGGACGTGAATAGACATGGTGCCAAAGGCGGGAAACGAACGACTGCTGGCACGCCCCTAAAAGCGCCAACGGTCCGAACTTGAAACACCACAGAGCAGAGCAGGGCAGCGCCGAGCTAGTGTATCGAGGCAAACTGATCGGACATGGCTGGAGGAGAGCAGTCTGGAAAGGCTGCGGAGGGGAAGCGACAGCAAGCCGAGTGTACCCGTTACAAGACCGACGAGTTACAGAGGCTAGCGACACGTCGGCTGCAGTAACTGTACTAGTCAGCGAAACCAGATTGGAAGGAGATTCCAAGCATCCATGACATTGACAACAATAGTACGTTATGGACGCAGATATCAGCGGTTCAGGCACTTCGCAACAAGGCGATGAGCAAGTGTGCTTCTGCATCCCCAAGATGCACAACAAATAGCTCCAAACTGACAATCCAGTGTACAAGGGATCCCAGTATGAATTAAAATCCCAGGCACTACATAGTGGTGGTGAATGGCTGAGGCGCCATGCTCTGAGGATGCTGGCTGCTGAACTTCGGGTAAGCTCGCTTTAAGAAACCAAATTCCCAAAGAAAAATGGAGTAAAGGCAGCATCAGAGGGAGGGAACTGAGATGTGGGTGGATGGAAGGACAGGGTAGAGCAGGTAGCAAGGGAGGGAGGGATTGACGGAGGGAGCGTGAGAGGTGAGAAGAGCAGGTGAGTGAGTCAAGAGTGGGGCAGGGGAGGAGCCTGTAACCCCCAAGGAAACGCTTAAATGCCAGCAGCAGTCTATTTTAGCACTCCCAGGTTTCTCGCCCAGGTCTCCTCCCTACCCCTCCCAGCCCATCTGCCGGCGAGTCTAGCAGCAGTCATCCAACCTTCAGCCGGTCGCAATGCAACACCAGGGCATTGCCAGGGCCAGAGCCAGAGCCACACGCCCAACAGAAAACACACAAACAGAACAAACCAACAAGACACAGCGTTACACACAACACGGAACAGTCCAACCAGCCAGAGAGGTCAAGCAGAGAAGGGTCACGGCCAGGCACCAAGCAGCGCCACTACTCTTGACATTCCGTCTGCACAGCACAGGCTGCGTGGGGCTCTCTCCCCTCATCACATGTAAGCAACCCTCCTCCCCTCCAACCCATAAAACCCGGAAACCCATTGTCGCAGGGAGTGGAGAGACACCCCCGTCCCCCTCTGCGTATCAGCCAGTCAGACTTCTTGCTTCTTACTTCTGGCTTCTGGCTTCCCCAACAGCAATCCACCTCACAAACTCGACACCAAACCAATCCAGCCACCCAGCCGCCCAGCCGCCCTCAACAGACTGACTCCCAATGGTCTCCTCATTGGCTGGACCCCACTTCCCCAGCCATTGCAGCAACTTCCGGCGCTGCTACTGTGTGCCCTGTATTCGCAACACCACCAGCAGCAGCTGCTGCTGACGAATTTCCTTCACCTGCCTGACCATTCACAGCAGGAGCTGCCACAGCAGCAGCAGCCGAAGCAGCAGCAGCACTGGCTGCACCACCAGGCGCTTTACCCTGCGACACTCCTGCTACTCCTAGCGCCTCCTGCTCCGCCCTTGCCCCTCCTCTCCTCCCTCCTCGCCCTTCTTCCTCCGTGCATCCCGCCACGTGGACGGGGAGAACCGAAACGCAGGTGACAGCGCCCTGAGCTTCCACGACCGCGTGCGCGGGTTGGGAGCCGCAGAGGACGAGGAGGAGTCGTCGGCAGAGAGGGAAGCAGCAGGGGACGCGTTCCCGTTGGAGGTGGGGCGAGGCGGAGGAGGAGGAGGAGAAGGAGCCCACGGGCGTGGCGGGAGCAGAGGCGGTGCCGGAGGGGTGGCGGTGGCGGTTGGGGGTCACGAAGGACCGGATGGCTGTCAGGGGGGTTCCCCAGCCAGGGCGCTGGGGAGAACGGGCGAGGGGTGGAAACGTGGCGGGGGAGGGGGAGGGGGATGGGTGGGGAAGAGCGTTGTGAAAGGGGAACGGCAAAAGAGAAGTGGAGGGAGGAGGGCGGCTGGAAGGGGTGGGCAACGGAGGTGGTGCTTGTGGAAAGGACGGTCAGCTTAGTTCAATTCATTCAGTTCAATTCATTCTATTCAATTCATTCAGTTCAATTTAATCAATTCAATTCATTCAGTAATTGATTCAATTCAATTCATTCAGTTCAGTTCGATTCAATTCAGTACAGCTCAATTCAGTTCCTCACCTTCTTGGCTTTCCTGGGCAGGTCAGGCTGTGGCACGGGGGGGTGCTGCACGAGGTAGGAGATGTATTTGCGCAGGCAGCGCAGGTACTCGGGGAAGAACTCCAGGTCGCAGTGGTGCCCGCCCTCCAGGAACAGCGGTTCAAACGGCCGCTTGCACGCGTCCACCAGCATCTGCCCGTGCGACACATCCACCACCTCGTCCGACGTGCCCTGGGGGGAAGGGGGGGGGGGAGGAAGAGTTGGGGAAGGCGGGGAGGGAGACGGGGTTGGGGGGAGGGAAGAGTGCGGAAAGTGGCGTGTGAGGCATGCATTTGGTTGCACGCGTCCACCAGGATCTGCCCGTGCGACACATCCCTCGCCTCGTCCGTTGCGGCCGTGTGGGGAGGGGGGGGGGTGGAGGGCGAGGGGGGAGTTGAGGGTGAAACGGGAGGAGCGAGAGGTGGCACATGAGGCGTGCGTTGGATTGCAAGCACTCACCAGCATTTCGTCCGACGTGCATCAGGGGGGCGAAGGGGACAGGGGGGGGGGAGACAGGGAAGGATCAGGGGGGACAGGGGCGAGCGAACGGGATCGGATTGGAGGAGAAAGGGAAAGGAGGAGGGACGGCAGGAGGGAGAACGGAAGTGTGAGGGGTTTTTACAACAACTGCGCACCAGCATATACCAGACAGTTCCTTTGGATGTGTTTTCTCGGGTTCACTGTGTCTTATGAACGACCGACGGACAACCGACAAGTAGATGGGCAAGGCAATGAGTCTAGGAGGAAGAAACGAGCGAGGGGCGGCGAGCGGGCGAGCGTAACAAAGACTTACATGCATGACGAAGACTGGACACTCCACTTTCGGCAGCTTGTCAATGTTCTGTGCACGTAGACGCACGGAGGGAGGGAGGGAAGCGGGCGGGGAAGACACGGCAGCGCACAGCAGGTGGCAGACACAGCACAGAGCGCGGGCATGATGAAAAAAACGCATCTTGCTGCGACAAGGTTCTCGACCCTTGCTAAGCACTTGCCCCCCTCCTTCCAACCTTCCCACCTTCCCTCCTTCCCGCCTTCCCACCTTCCCTGATTCCCCCCTTCCCCCATTCCCGCTCTTCTGAGTTAACCCCATCGTCGTGGGATAAAACTCCGCTTTGATCTGTGCGTTGCGTTCGTCAAATTGTTCGCTTTCCGTTCGCTCTTGCGCGCATCAGCTTGATCCGCCTCCCTGTTCTTCGTTCCCACGAGATGCCCAGCCCGGTCTGTTCACAGTACTTGACGCAGCCGCACATGTGCGCGCCCAGTACGGTCAACCACACATGGCATGACACACGCGACACAGAACGCAAACATGTTCACACACACGCGCACACACGCACACACACACACACACGCACCACACACGCACACACACACACACACGCACACACACACACACACGCACACACACACACACACACACGCACACACACACTCGCGCGCGCACACACACACACACACACACACACACACACGCCATCAATCCACCCCCAATCCGCCGACACAGAGACAGACCCACAGGCACAGGCACAGGCACAGACACAGCACAGAAGCAGACGCGACAGCATACCGGGAAGATGTCGAACCAGTAGGTGTGCTTGACCTCGTACAGCACGCGCGCACGCGCGCGATGGGGCTGTGCAGCACCACGCCGCGCACGTTGGGCGTGCGCGACGCCAGGTCCACCGTCGGCCCGCTGCCCACGCTCTGCCCGTACAGCACCACCTGCTCCGCGCCGATGCTGTATCGCTGCTGCAGACACGTCATCACCGCCTCCACGTCGCGTACGTGTCCGCCTCCGACGGCTGCGGAAAGGGGAAAGGGGAAGGAGGGGGGAGGGGGGGGGTGGAGGGAAGGGGGAGAGAACGGGGGAAGAGGGAATGGGGGAGGGGGGAGGAAAGGGAGAGGGGCCGGAGAGGGGTTGAGCAGGGCGGGCCAGCAGGCGGGAACGCGGAGAATCGCCGGTGGGTGCTCACGAATCCACGCGTTGGCGTGACGCGGCCCCAAACATGGCTTGAGAGGACGAGGAATGACGGCGAATAGGAAAGAATATAGGCGGTCAGAAGAGAATCGAGGCGGCCAGAAGAGAATCGAGGCGGTCAGAAGAGAATCGAGGCGGTCAGAAGAGAATCGAGGCGGTCAGAAGAGAATCGAGGCGGTCAGAAGAGAATCGGGGAAGAAGTCGCAAACAGCTGTCCAACGGATAACACAATGGAGGCTGAAAGCAGCAGTACCCGGTTAAAGGGCAGCGAATATACCTTAACAGCAAGCGCACCCGTGCTTCTGTTACTCCCCCCCGTGTAAAGTACCATCGTACCTTGCCGGAAAGAACGTACCTTGCCAGTAGAGGCGCCGTACCCCGTGTAGTCGTACCTGGTGTGGCAAAACGTGTGATGGGAAGAGAGTCGACGGAAGATTGAGGATGTAAGAGGGGGAAAGGGAGAGAAGAGAGAGGGCAAGTGAAGCATAGAGGGAGGGGAGACGAGGGGTAGGGGGGGATACAAAGGAGGGACCTAAGAAACGGGAAAGGACAGGATGTCGGGAGGGGAATGGGGACGGCAAAGGGAGGGTCCAAATGGGGGAGGGAGGTGAGAAGCGGTTAAAAAGCACAAGAATGGACAAGAGGACTTGTAGACAGAAAGTAAATTGGACCTCTTAAGGAAGCATAGGCTCCAGATGAAAGAGACGGGGTGTGAGATGAGGGTTCCAGCTGCACAATTGATACTTGCAAAACCACATCATTTTACCACGAGAGTAGGACAGCAGGACCGAGGGAGAGAGAGATAAGGAAGGACGGGGAACGGGGGAAAGGGAAGGCGTGGGGGGGGAGGGAGGGGAGGGAGGGGGGGGGGGAGGTCTCGAGGCTCACCCCCATGAGATTAACTCGCAGCAATGTGCGCGAGCTCCACGTAGAGGTCATGCATCTGTCCCAGGTCAGCCGCATTGCCGTGCGAGTACAGCAGCGTCAGTCGCGCGCGGGGATTGCGGACGAACATCGCCGCCACCTGCTGTCTCCGCCGCGTGTCAATCAGCAGCACGTCCACGTGGTCCTGCGGCGCGATGCTGTCGAATCGCAGCCGTCCAGTGCTCGGGTCTTTCACGATCGCGTATGACGGCGGGGTTGGCGGAAAAAAGGCGAATTTCGCCGCTAAAGATGACGTCATCGCCCCCATGGTGACGCAGCGGTACGGACGGTTTAACCAATTCCTTTGACGCACACGAAGAGGAAGAGTCAGGAAGAGTTTCAAATAGATAAGATCAGACTACAGCTCTGTCCTTGGCCGTTAATGTGCAAAAGGTGCCTTGTTTTGAACTTTACGACGCTAAAAAGGTGACCAGTAGCAGGAAAGCGTATCGGAAACCGGAGGTAGCCGAGAAACCCGGCGACAGGTTACTGAAGAGCACTAAGAGAGTGCACGACTATTAATGCGGTTGCCGTGTACCAGGAGCGCCAGCGTTACGGACAGCTATCGCGGCGGAAGAATGGAGCGCGGTTGCCTTAGTAGGCAACAGCGCCGCACGGGTGAAGTACCGCACGGCATTTGACGGACACGCGGGTTAGGTTAGATTTTACAATCTCGGTTGTACAGGAGATGCTTCTATAATCTAGCACAGCCAAGGTAAAGGGTTGCATCTGAATGTGAGCTGTATGGCTGCAGGACAGCCGGCGGAAAATGTTAGTGGTTACGAAGAATAAGGCGGGCTTAGTTTGAACTAAGAGCGAGGGGGGTTCTTATTATTCGCTGGTTGGTCAGCTGTAGGATGCCTAGGAGCCCGAGGACCTGCCTCCCACTGCTTGCACCTCTGGACCCGTTATAATCAATAATAGAGGACCTGTGCTCGTGGGCTAGATGTACTAGGCGTAGTGTACGAGGATGTTAGGCGGACAAATGAACCACCAACCCAGTCAAACAAGGCAAGCACAAGCTTCACCCTCTGCCTCACAGGCTCAGGGGTCACATCACAAGCAGAGGGCAGAGCAAAGCAGAACTAATCAGGGCAGAGCAAAGCAGAGCTAAGCAGGGCAGAGCACAGCAGAGCTAAGCAGGGCAGAGCGGAACAGCGATCCAGAGTGTTGTGAAAGAGGAGAAGGCCCAGCGCATGGGGGAGAGCTTGAGCGGAGAGCGGAGCGGAGAGCGAAGCGGAGAGCGGGAGTTGGGTCGGGTGCGCGCGTGAGGGCGCACGGAGGAGAGCTCCCCCTCCCCCTCGTTCCTGCTTCCCCCGATCCCCGAATCTCGCCACTGCGGGGAACGGGCAGGCGGACCAAAAATCACGAGGGGCGGGCTGGGAGTGTTCCCTTTGGGCTTTGGGGGAACCTAGACGGCTGCCTTCCTCTGCTTTCAGGGCGTCCTAAGTGTAACTTTTTGTGTAAGTGAAATATTTGATCCTTCTGACCCGAAAAGCACCTCACCCAGCAGCACTCAGAGCTACGCTTCGCACGCAGCTTCATCCGCTGAGCTCCGCGCAAAAACTGTCCTTGCGGCGGAAGACAACAGCGGAAGTCAGTTTGCGTGCGCGTGCTGCAGGAGGTGCCGCGGAGGAAAGCATGGGGCAGTGCGGGAGGTTGGCGGCTCTTCTGATCACAGAGTGGTTGGTGGTGCCTGCCCAGCTCCCTGGCGACCCCTGACGAGAGCTCGCGACAGACGGACAGGTCCTTGGGTTTGACGTGCGTGCGACGGAACGGCGAGCTGGTGGTTTTGGGGAGGGGCGGACCAATAGGACTTCTGATGAAAATGGTCCTAAGATTGCGAAAGTCTGCGACCACGACATTGTCGCTCGGCACCAAAGTTGTCAAGCAGAGTGCAGACGTGGCATTTGGCTGCTCAACTTTACGGGTTATTGTCACAAGCTCCTCAACCTGCGATCCGCCTTGAACAAAACCGAACAAGTCGTTTCTGTGCAGTCATCACTTGGTACAAAAGGAAACTCCCAAGATCTCATAACAGTATATACGTATCAATTAGTTTTACATGAGTTTTGCACTTGATTTGCTTTTTTACACACACCAATTAATTTCTCCCTATTATCGCAATCCATATTAAACGTGTTTTTCAGCACTCCTGCGTGCTGAATGAGAGGACGATGTAGAGGTTGAGTCAACTCCGTAGTGAATAATTAGAAAAAGTTAGGTTGTATTCTTCCTTCCATACATAAATTTCAACATGGTGCTATCACAAAATTGGCCTTGTCGCATTTCTTACTTATGTATAATAGTACTATGAGCGGGCTTATGAAGTTGTATTCTATCCAGCCCCATGACATCCCTCGCAGCCCTGCTGTCGTGCTTGCCAACTCTCCCTGTCTTGTGTCACTGACCTTGGTCCTCACTACGCTACTTGAAATTGTTCCTGCGTGTCGCTTTGCTCGTGTGCCTCGAGACCAAGACTCCATATTTTGTGCTTCTTTTACACACACTGCTTGTGCGTGTGGAGTGGATTGCGCAAGATCGAAAGCGTCAGTCAGCTGCTCTATCTGGAGGGAAGATATACATACAAGTGTCGACTTCTGCTGATACAAGATTTAGACACATTGTTATCCGACACGTTTTTCTCTCTTGAAGCCCTGACCTTGGCGGTCATTCGTTAAAGCCATGGCGACTTCAGACTCTGTCGCGGTTCGCAGAAAGCGCATAATGGTTGCGATGGACGAGACACGTGGCTCGCGCACAGCCTTACGGTGGACCATAGGCCACGTGGCGTCAGAGGGCGAGGACACGGTGCTGCTGCTGTGCGTACAGGACCCGTCCGTGCAGCCAGGTATGAGGAAGAAAGGAAAGGACGAGAACAGAGCCCAGTGCGCTTGAGAAAGGCAAGTGCAGCAGCAAGTGTCTTGAGAATGCCGAATCCTTTTGCACGTGAACGATCTGAATCGCTGAGGATGTCACGCAGGAGGGATGTCGCGCAGGAGGGATGTCGCGCCTGCTTCCTTCATTTCATTCCCCTCTGTCCTCCTGTTTTCTCTTCCGCTCCTGTTGCGCGTGTTTTTCTTCCGCTCCTGTTGCGCGTGTTTTCTCTTGCGCGCTCTGTCGCCAGTGGCCGTGACTCCCCAGGTGCTGGACGGGCTCATGGAGCGCTCTCGGCAGATGTGCCAGGAGACGGACAAACAGGTCAGCTGCTCCCCTCTCCCTCACCACACAACCCCTCTCCGCTCCCGCCCCATTGATCCACTTTCTCCTCCCCGCCTCGTCTACCTTCCTCTACTCTACTAACGCCCTCCTCCCCTCCCCTCCCTCCCTGTGTGCCTCCCTGCGTGCCTGCCTGCTTGCCGGCGCGACAGGTGCAGTGCGAGGGGGTGTTTGTGGAGGGTGACGTGCGGGAGAAGATTGTGTCCATCTGCGCCGATAGGGACGTCGACCTCCTTGTGCTCGGCAGCAGGCGCCAACTCTCCTCTCACCGGTGACCCCACCCCACCCACACCACACCACATGATAGCCGCCCACCCACCCGCCCACCCACCCACCCACCACCATATTCCTTCTCCTAGCGGAGCACTGCTAGGAGGAGCATCGTGCAGTGCTCCTATGATGAGCCCATTCTATGAACAGCAGCACATGCTCGTTGCTCACCTCACCCACTGTTAACCTCCCCCTCTCCCCCCCGCCCTCCTTTCCTCCCTCCGTTACTACCTTCTCTCTACAGCTGCACCCCTGCCCTTCCCCCGGCCCCTTTTGCCTACTTGTACCATTCTCGTCGTCTTTTCAATTGCCGACGCGTTCACCTGAGCCGTATCCTTCCCTGCATCCATCTTCTTATCCACCCCCCTCCCCATCCCCCAGCATGTTGACGGGCAGCCGGGGCAACTACTGTGCGGTGTGTGCGCCGTGCCCGGTGCTGGTGGTGCGCATGGCGCCAGAGGAGGAGCAGCTGCGCCTGCAGTGCAACCGCCCGCGCCGCATCGCTGTCGGGCTGGACCGGAGCGAGGCGAGCGGCGAGGCGTGCAAGTGGGTGCTGCACCACGTGTGCCGCGCAGAGGACCGGCTCTACTTGCTGCACGCGGATCGAGAACCCAGCTATGCCATGCAGGGTGTGCTGGTCGATAGGGGCCCATAGGGAAATAGGGAATAGGATTGAGGGTGGTGATATGTCCATGGATAGAGAAGAAAAGCTTCTTTCCGCTATGGAATATGCACCTCTTCTCACTAATCTATGTGGAGGACGGTTGCTTGAAAAGTCGGTAAGCCAAGGTATGTTCCATGTGTTTCGTCTTCCTCCTTGCGCAACGTCCTGTTTCCTCACCAGACTCACTACCTCCCCCCTCCCCCCTCTGTCCCCTCCCCCCCAATCCGTATGCCAACATCAATACCAGACCGTATGCTAGCAGCTGATGGAAAGAAGGCCAACGACTCAATGATGCGACCCCACTTTGACGCCCTCATCTCCCTTGCGCTGCAGACAAAGGTACAGCAGCTTTCAGGGACACCACCCGTCCCCTCCCCTTCTGCCTCCTAAGGATTCTGTGCCACGGTCATGCACCTTTTTTGCTTCCTTTCTCTCTTCCTCCCATGTTCTCTCCTCTTCCCCCAAATTTCACTGCTCCCCCACTCTCCTAGCCACCCCCCCCCCCCCCTCGCCCCCAACCCCCCATTTCCCCTCCTTTCTCTTTCTCACTCTTTTGCTGCCACCTGCCCTTTTCCTGTCCGTCATTTGCTTCTCAGGGGGCAGCGTTTGAGGTGTCCACTCATGTGCTTGAGGGCGATCCTCGTCCGTTACTGGTGGACTTTTGCGAGCGCAACCATATCGATCTGTTGGTAGTCGCTACAAGAGGAACAGGCTCAGTTCGCGGGTAAGCATTTGTGGTGTGGCAATCGTGCTAAATTATGCTGGTCGTATTTAGTTGTTCCCTAATTGCCATTTTCCTGCATGAGTGTCATGTCACCTACTTTCTCCTAATGCTTGAGCAGGGTTGTCCTTGGAAATGTGAGTGCTTACATGGTGCAATATTGCCCTTGCACCCTTCTTCTATATCGCCAAAAAGAAGCTGATGTCTCCTTGATTCTACTAGCACCTTGGCTAGCATATTTTCATTTCCGATTTTGTTGTGACCAAGCTTTCAGTTTGTCTTTATATTGTGTTTCAAATTACGGTTCGTGAAAATGTAGACTTGATGCAGCATAGGACAACGCGTTTTGCTTTGACCTGTTCCCTGCGTTTCGCCGTCGTCAGCAGACGGCAATTCCCATCCTGGCACGAAGAGGCGCGTAGCGGCTACGGCTGTCGTCGCCACCCTCACGCGAAAACAAGTGGCCCAGACTGGTGCAGCATGGTTACCGCGACGCGTGATTCATCTCGCATTACTTCGCCGCAACTTTCGTCCCTCTCATTGCTCTGTTCCCGAGATTCACCTCACCTCCCAGCAGCAGCGTCCTCCTGATTCCTGAAACTCAGCCGCCGTTTTCCGCGCCAGAAACAGACTGCATGCCTCATTGCTTACTGCACTTCGCATCCAGCATCAGAATAGCTCCTGATAGTAGACGCTCGCGCTAGGAGCTCTTGCTGGTCTAGAGTTCAAATTCAGGCTGATCAGCGCATTATTACTCACGCAATTCAAGTTGCGAGTTCTTCTTACGGTTGCCTCACTACAAGCTCTCCTACTCAGTGCCTTATAGAACCCGCTCTGTGCGTGCACACTCCAGCCTGTTCGAGCTTTCAACTGCTTTTCTCGCTAGTAGCTTCGGGAGTCAATATGGCAGGATCTGCGATGGTCGTAGAGAGCTCTTTTCTATCGTCGGCTAACCTCTTCAAGCCTAAGCTTCACTCGGACTCTTACGAGCTCGGAGTCGTTCTCGACAACTCGCTTCAGTCGCTCTCCGCGAAACCGGGGAGTGGCGTCAGCACCTCACGAAAGCCGCGTGTCACGAAATGGGGTCTTCCCTGGGCGACTGGTAACCACGAAATGAAACGCATGGATCTTGACACGGGTGGCGGCCTTGTTCACCAGGATCATCAGGATCATTATGACATGCGGGGATCTGACGGATTCAAGCTGCTGCCAGGAGGGACGCTTCCACTGAACGAATCAAGTGCTGACAGTCGCGGCGTCGTCATGCCAAGCTTCTTGGCGGAAGCGGGACGCATTCAGGTTCTCCAGTCGTCCCCACCATCGGCTGGACGAGCGGGAATGATCGACGGCGAGATTCAGCGGCTCATTCGGGAGATGCGACTGGAGGATCCGTTTTACGTCATGGACATCGGCGAGATCGTCCGTCTTTTTACGGTCGGTACTCCGGTTCCAAGCGAATCTCGTTTTGCTTATCAATAACTTATTGGCTTGAGACATTGGCGAGTCATTTTCTGACAGACGATTATTTGTTTCTTGTTTCCTTGCAGGGCTGGACGGCCGCCTTTCCCCGGGTCCAGCCTTTCTACGCGGTGAAGTGCAACCCATCCCCGCTACTCGTCTCCGTGCTTGCCGCTCTGGGAGCGGGATTCGACTGCGCGAGCAAGGCCGAGATTTCTCAGGTCGGTTGCCATATCTCTATGCGTGCAAGTTTCTACGCCGTCGTTGCAACATTCCGCGTCATTATAACGTTTAGTAGTTAGCTACTAAGATTCTGACCGTTGACATTGTCGCTTGCTTGACAGGTTCTGAGCATGGGTGTGTCGCCTGACAGCATCATTTTCGCCAACCCCTGCAAGATGCCGTCGCACATCACCTTCGCCTCGGAAATGGGTGTCCGTGCGACGACGTTCGACTCCGAATCCGAGCTTGTCAAGGTCCGTTTCATGCCAAAGACCGCTCGACAGACAAATACAGGACGCTCTATGTGATTCATTCTTGCACGTGATTCCTGATCTCTGTTTTTTTTACGGGATTTGATATCCTTCTAACTGGTACTTTTCTGTGTGACGCTAACGCAGGTGCACGCGTTGAATCCCTCCGCCGTGCTGCTGCTCCGTCTGCAAGCCAACGACTCCACGGCTCGCTGCAACCTCGGCGTCAAGTACGGCGCGCTCATGCACGAGGTGCCGTCCCTCCTCGCCGTCGCCTCGCGCCTCAAGCTTCACGTGGTGGGAGTTTCCTTCCACGTCGGAAGCGGCGCGGCCGACCCCGCTGCCTTCACCCGCGCCATCGCCGCGGCGCGCCAAGTGTTCGACATGGCCGCTGACGTGGCACGAGCGGCGGACATGCCTGTCATGTCGGTGCTTGACGTGGGTGGCGGGTTCACAGCACCTGGCACAGGATGCTCCGGCGGCATGCCTTTCGCCGCGGCTGCTAACGGTGGGTTGCCTGAATACCAGTCTTTAATGCCATGGTGGCTACTGGTGCACCCAGCTTTTCTCGCCTCGTTTCCCATAATACATTCCTGGGTTCCGTTTTGTGCATTTCATGATGGTCTTCGCTAATCGTGCTCTTGTTTTTTCTTTCTTTTGCAGCGATCAACTCGGCGCTCGACCGCTTCTTCCCGGAGGCGAGCGGCGTGGCGGTGATCGCGGAGCCGGGCAGGTACTTCGCCGAGACGCCCTCCACGCTCGCCGCGTGCGTCTTCGGGCGGCGCGTGCGCGGCGAGCGGCGCGAGTACTGGATCAACGACGGGCTGTACGGCTCCATGAACTGCGCGCTCTACGACCACGCCACGCTGCGCGCGCACCCGCTTGCGCGCGCATCCGCTTCCGCGTCCGACGGGTCTTCCGCGGACGGCGGCCTGGACTGCGGAGAGGTTGAGGTTATTGACGTGAGCGGCGGCGGCAGCGGCGGCGGCGGGTTTGAGAAGGCGGAGGTTAGGGAGGGCCTGCCCCCAGAGGCGGAGTGCGGGGGGAAGCGCAGGAAGGGCGGCGGAGGCGGCGGAGCTCTGCGCGCGCGGGGGCGGGGGCGGGCGGAGCGTTCTTCCCATCGACGGTGTTCGGTCCGACTTGCGACGGGCTGGACATGGTGCTGCGCGACGAGGCGCTGCCTGAGCTGGCGATCGGCGATTGGCTGTGTTCCCGAACATGGGCGCGTACACTGCGGCGGCGGGGTCCAGCTTTAACGGATTCGCGACTGGGGAGATTAAGACGTATCTGGTGTACACTGTGGGCGCGGAGGAGGCGAAGGCGGGGAGGCGGCCTAGCGGCGGGCAGCGCTGAACGGCGGAAGAGGAAGTGGAAGTGGAAGCGGAAGCGGAAGCGGAAGCGGAACCGTGGAGGGGGATAGCATGAGCGGGATGATCTGGGGGGGAGGAGAGTGGCATGCGCGAGGCGGCGGAAGCGACGGGGATGTGTCTGGCGCGATCGGCGTCGGAGGAGATGCTGCACACGCCGCGCAGCTCGGGCGCTGGTAGCAGCGAGCGCGGGTAGTCTCGGGGGCGTGTGCGACGGCGCGGGCAGCGAGAGCATCTGAAGTGGTAACCTGCCCGGTACTGTTTATGGATGGAGCCCGGAAGAGCTGGGTGACACGGCGGTTGGTTGGTGTGATGTGGAAGGCTGAAATAAGCTGTCAGGCGCTGAAATTAGAGGGTGTCTTGTGTATATGGGCTGAGGTAGGTTGCAGGGACAGCCCTCAGCAGCTAGGCAATGTAGGCAGAGAGCGAAATGCCTCTTTATGTACAGTGGTCTATTGTTATGATTCCTTTATTATTATTATTATTATTATTATTGTTATGATTAAGTCAAAGATGAAGCTAAAAAGAGGCAAAAGCATCAATGGTTCACACAGGGCCCATCTTGGGCCCTTGTCTCTATCGCAGCGCATACATATGCTTCAGAGAGCCACTAAATCATAGGCACTCTATGCTCATCCGACTTCCCGCTACCAAACTGCGGTAGTGAAGCTCAGCAGTAGCATGGCCATTACCCATGAACGGATCATCATCTCTATAGCCATTGTCAAACCAGCACCAGCGGCAGCGGCGACGGCAGCAGCAGCAGCAGCAGCAGCAGCAGCAGCACTACCCCTACTCCTTCCGCTCCTCCCCCTACACCAGAACCACCGTCATCCCCGCCTTCAGTGTCCTTGTCTAGGTACGGTGCATTGTGACTCTGCTCCGGGTGGCTGCTGCTGCTGCTGCTGTCACCACCGTGCAGGCCTAGAAATCGGGATTTCTCCATCTCATCATGGGGCTGGCGGCGGCGGTGCTGGCGACGCAGAATGAGCGCGATGACGCAGCACATGGCGAGGGCCACGATGAAGGCGAAGGAGAGGATAACGCTCGTGACCCACGAGCCCGTGACACTCGTGACCGCTGGATCAAACTGCGTTACTGGAGTGAAGAAACGCATATGGGAGACGGGGTGAGATTGGGGAGGGGGAGAAGATGAGGGGGTCGATGCTGCAGTATGGGAATCAGCAAGTTGTTGAGAGAGCAATGGATGAATCGGAAGAGCCAGTGGGAGCAACTTGCGATTCCGATTCATCCATTGCCAGTGCCATTGGATAACAGGAGGTCTTGCTCCCACTGGCTCACCTCCACTGGAGGAGAGCCAGTGGGAGCAAGACCTCCTGTTATCCAAGGGGATGGCAATGTATGGGGCTGGCAATGTATGGCGCTAGTAATCTATTGGGCCGGCAATCAATGGGGCTGGCACTCCATGCGACTGACCAGGTTGGGCAGGAGGAGGAGGCGGGGGAGCCGCACAGGTGTCACAGGCGAGCGACACATAGAGCACCCCCGGCACGTCAACCACCGCCACGCCACCCGTGACAGATGCGCCGATCTCGCTGCGCGTGTGCGGTCTGCTGGCAGCGGGCCTGTGCGGGTCCCGCAGAGAGAAGTTGGCGGGGCAGAGGGTCCACTCGGCGACGGTGGAGGTGAAGAGGAAGAGCATGCGCTCGTACACGCCGCACTGCTTGCACTGCTCGTGGCCCAGCTGCGTCACGGGCTGGTGGAAGGAGGGTGGGGTAGGTTTTCCACGAGGAAGGAGGAGTGGAGGAGGAGGGGGAGGAGGGGGGGAGGGGGAGGAGGGAAGGAGGGAAGGAGGGAAGGAGGGAGACGTGAGGGGGGGAGAAGGGGTTGTG